ATATATAGTGTACTCTATGTGGCGGTAGTGCTAGAAGGGATGAAAGAAAAAGGAGTTGCGTTTCGTCCTGGGCCTGCTAGTGAACTTGTCGGTAAAGCTTTCTAGCAGGCCCTGCCTTAGACAGGGGATACCTAGATAGCATAGAAACTTGTATTCATGGGAGTCAAGTATTTGTAGCGACCATCATTCTCACCATTTCTCGCAACTCATCGGAAAACCTCTAATTCCTACATATATAAATTCCCGACCTTCCAATAGTATCTCAGTGTCTAAGGCAGGGCCTGCTATGAGGGCCTTGCTGATGAGTCCGCTAACAGGCCCAGGACGAAACGCATCCCTTCCTTTTCCTACCGTCCTTTCTAGCTACGCGACCAACGAGGATACCTGCGACCATCAGACATTGAAACGATGATGGGGGGAGGACCCCCACAGAATCCCCTCGAACCTCCGTTTTCCATCTAGCGGTGAGGGTGCGAAAGTTGGTGGCTACATAAATTTTACAAATTTTTCTCACCGATCTCCCCAACCCCAAACATTTCCCTGTCATCGAAACACGTAATGGAGAACCATCTTACAACTCCGTGCGCCATCAGCCGGTGTATTAACACATCGTAGGTGCAAGGACGCGATGCATTATGCGGGGTGGAATTAGCACGTCGTCGGACGCGAGACTTGGCCCGATAAACCATTGACCATCGACCCTTCGCCACGAAGTCGCAGTCGACTCTCGGCTGATCGATAAACCGGACCTCCGGTATTACCCGGCAAACAACGCGATATTACGCCACTGGTCACGTACATCAAGACGAGTTTTGTCCGGCAAATTGCGAGCGGAAATAGGCGCGTTGTGTTTCAGCGTTAAGCTTGGAAACCGTGGGCGAGCCGGGGGGCGAGAGCGGAGCGGCGAGGACGGGAGAGCTTTCCGTTCTCTGGGCTCGTTCGTCGCGATTTAAAGCGTTCCGTGTAGCGGCTCCGGACACGGGAAATTTGTTACGTTCGTCCGTTTCATTTCATCGTCGACGGGCCGCATTAATGTAAAAACGCTGTAGCAGAACGGTTGACCTGCGTCGAACAACGTGTTCCGGGGATAATTCTCTGTGCCGGGTGCCGGTTAAGTATCTATTTCCGGCGGGCAGGGTGCTCCGAGTCGATTGGAAATGTAGCTTTCGATTACGCGCAATTCCAACCCTCGCAGCTGTGCAACTTTTTCAGGGATGAACGTGCGTCGTGTTCATTCCCTACAGTCATTCCCAATTCACAGACCGTTACGATCCTCAATGAAGACGCGAATCCTTCAAATAGACATTTTAACTAGCATCCTTCGAACCTCTACCTCCATCAGGAAGAACCCAGACCTCATATACCACTCCATACATTCACCCCGAAGAAAGAAGCCCGAGTCGAGGAGACAACGGCTACCTCCTTACGACCAACGGCCCACGGACCTCCAAATCAGTTAAAAACACCATTAGAGTCAATCCTAACAACTTTCGTAAACTAACGCACCGTTAGCCAAAATTAATTAAACCTTTGCCTTTCCTCGACAGATCTCTACCTTATCCCTATTTCCATGCGTACCCTCAGGAACAAGGGACCCGAATCGAAGGGACGATGGTTTACTCGTTTATAACCAGCGTCCCACGATTCGCGGACACCTCGACCTCCGAAACTACGATTCGCGGGCACCTCGACCTCCGAAACTGACCCTCCGAGTCAACCCCATCTATCCATCTAGTGACGAGGGCGAGAATGATGGTCGCTACAGATTTATATTATTCATTTGCAAGAGGAGCCAAAAATATTTAGATTAACGAGGTGGGTGTAGGGGGTCCTCTCCCCCATTGTTGTTTGATGTCGACTGGTCGCAGGTATCCTTACGTGACGGTCGTGTTAGAAGGTACGAAAGGAAAAGGGTGGGATGCGTTTCGTCCTGGGTCTGCTAATGGACTCGTCGATAAGGTTCCTTTAGCAGGCCCTGCCTTAGACCCGGGTACTATTGGAAGGTCGGGAAGTTATATGTATAGGAATTGGGGATTTTTTCGCAAGTCCTCGGAATCCATCTAGTGGCGAGGGCGAGAATGATGGTCGCTACAGATTTATATTATTCATTTGCAAGAGGAGCCAAAAATATTTAGATTAACGAGGTGGGTGTAGGGGGTCCTCTCCCCCATTGTTGTTTGATGTCGACTGGTCGCAGGTATCCTTACGTGACGGTCGTGTTAGAAGGTACGAAAGGAAAAGGGTGGGATGCGTTTCGTCCTGGGTCTGCTAATGGACTCGTCGATAAGGTTCCTTTAGCAGGCCCTGCCTTAGACCCGGGTACTATTGGAAGGTCGGGAAGTTATATGTATAGGAATTGGGGATTTTTTCGCAAGTCCTCGGAATCCATCTAGTGACGAGGGGGTGAATGATGGTCGCTACATGTGAAATTAAAATATCGGGATTAAAGGAGTCGAATATTTCCGAGGGGGTAGGCTTTACGACAGATGATGGTACTTTCGTACTGTAAAACTATCGCTTGCAAAAAATTGCAAAGGATTTCTATTAAAAATGGAAGCTTTGATCCCTGTGAGCAGGAGCGATTTTTCACGTTTCGTGGAGTATTTCTTCCCGCTTTTCGGTGAAATTTTGAAAGACGCTTACGAGTTAAGAGCTCTGTAATCCCTCGCAGAGTTCCGGATACAACCGATTTGCGTATTAAAATTTCAAAAGATCCCCCTGGTCACGCTGATCTCGCCGGGGGGTATATCGCGAACGCTAGATCTACCTACGCAATGGGATTAAGGCTGAAAAGGAGTACTTTGAAGACGCGGCTGAAAAGGGCGAATTCCTCGGAAGCTCGCAGTTACTCAAGCCTCGGGAACGGCGATTCCGATGAAGGAATTCTTTCATCGTCCTCCTTGCAACGAATCTCTTTTGCCGGCCCTTTGAGACACAGTTGGATTATCGGTAATCGTAAAAATGCCGTCCGATTCATGTCAAGTGGAGCAATCCGGCCAGCTTTGTGCCACGCGGCCAGCTACGCGGACATTATCTCTTGCTGTTCTGAGTCCTCGTTACGCCAAGAAATGCCTCCTTCTTTAAGGGGGACAGTCGATAACGAGGCGTTGACGCTGAATGCCGCGGAACGCTGGGAAAAGAACCGATTGAGGAGATAAATTTGCGAAAATCTCGCGGTGTTATATCTTTATCGCGAACTCTGTTGATCTTGTAATATATATGTTTTGGTATTTTTTAATTACACGATATCGAAGATTTGTGAGAAATTTTTGTTTGGTTCCGTTGCTTGCACAGGGGGTGTAAAAGTGACTTGAGTCGTACATGCCTCGTATTATAAATTAAATTATATAACTGCGAGAGAGGACTCTGTTGATCTTGTATTATAATGGTACATTCTCTGATCTTTTCGGATATGGAATTTATGGATATTTTGGTATTTTTAAATTACACGATATCGCAAATTTGTGAGAAATTTCTGCTTGGTTGTGTTGCTTTCATAGGGGGTGTAAAAGTGGCCTGAATTGTATTATCGCGCATTATAAATAAAATAAAATAAAATAATTGCGAGAGAGGAGAGAACAACTTTTTACCTTCGGAGATTAAAATGGATATTATCTGTAAAATTTCATCTCCTTTCTCTATTTTTAGTTGAGCGTTGAATTCGAAGATTTCTTTGTTATAAAGATATGAGAATTCGAAGCTCCTCTTATATTTTTCTGAGCCCTAAATTTACTATTTTTTGCTAAAATAAAATAAAATTTAGTTATAGCCTCTCGTTAATATGGAGTAATAGTAATAGTATGAAATACTTCATCTCGGTAGACAAGCACTGTACAAAAATTCGCGAATAATTATTTTATTTCCGAACCTTTGTAAGTCTACGTATATCCTTTGAAACATCGATGACAATTTATATTCCTCAGTCCACTAATAAATTAATAAAAATGCTATATTATTACCGCATTCCTAGCTTAAAAATCTCAAGAATTTCAAACTAGCAAAAACTTGCAAACCCTCGGAGGAGTATCACACTTCTGTTTCCAACCATGACTCACGCCACGTTAACCCTGGTGCCCTCCCCAAATGAATCTGACCCAAAACGAAGATCACGCTTTTCAAACGTTCCTCCGTTTCAATTTTACAATAACTCTCTACGATCTACGACGTTATTAAAACCCTAGTCGGTAACCTAAATGAATACAACGGGGTTAATTTTCGAATTAATCTTGCACCCGAGAACCTCGTCCAGACCATCCCTTACACGGTGCAACGAACGATGTCTGAAGTTTCTTTTCTTCGTTTCTTTTCAGCTTGATCCATCGAGATACTAGGCCAGAGCCAGCAATCAGGTGTTTGACACTGAGAGGAGGGACGAGGTTGCCCTCGGCGCCGGATCATCGCAGCGAGGCTCGTTTGAGGACGGATCCAAAGGTGTTGGTCTTCGTGGAAACGCTGTACTCTATGCTGGGCAAGAACATAGCGGAACTGCTCGTCTCCAATCGAATCAAGTGAGTACCTCCGGGTCCAATCGCGTTTCTTCGCGATCGAAAAGAAGAAACGGGGTACGATCTCACCTGCGACATCTTCCCAGAGGCAGTTTCTCCTAGTTATCGCGGCGAAGTTTTTGCCACCGAAATTCATTGTTATGTCGGTCGTGGTACGCTTGTTTTCCATCCAGGTAAACGATCGCAGACGCCTGTTCGCGACTGGAAAAACTTTATCTCGTTAGCACTTCGCGCGAGGACCGGCCACGCTGTTCGTGTACTAATACACTTCGTTATCTCCGTGTTTTTCGTCTCTTTCTCGGTGGTAATTAACCCCTCACGCTGCGACAATTTTTCCACCCGATTGGCCGGCCATTCTAACCTGCTTCCGCGATGAAAAGCTTCTTCGAATCAAAAGTGGGAGAGATTATAAATCGCTGTGAATCTGTTTGTACAATGGACGTCTTTTGTTGTTTATCTTCGTGGGTGAAAATAGAAATAATCGTTATCGGTAGTGTCATTACTGGCATCAATTTGGATCCCAAGTGTCGCTAATATTTGTCAATTAGAGTGGGACGATATTGATTTTTACTGGTCGAGAATTATTAAGAGTTGGTATGAAACCAGGCACATTATAGGCTTCTTCTATTTTCCATCTTTAGCCCTGGAAATAGATTGAAATAATCGGTTATGGCACCAGTTTTGATCCCAAGTGTCGCTAATACTTGTCAATTAATGTAGAACGATAGGGATTTGTGCTGGTCGAGAATTATTAAGAGTTAGTAAGAAAGCAGGCACATTATGAGCTTCTTCTATTTTCCATCTTTAGTCGTGGAAATAGAACGAAATAATCGATTATGGCACCAGTTTTGACCTCAAGTGTCGCTAACATTTGTCAATTAAAGTGGAAGGATGAGGAATTTTGCTAGTCAACAATTTTTAAGAATTGACTAGAAATTAAGCACATTATAGCCTTCTTCTATTTTCCATTTTTAAACCTGGAAATAGATTGAAATAATCGGTTATGGCACCAGTTTTGACCCCAAGTGTCGCTAATACTTGTCAATTATAGTAGAACGATGGGGATTTTTGCTGGTCGACAATTATTAAGAATTATTAGAAATTAAGTACATTATAGCCTTCTTCTATTTTCCATCTTTAGACATGGAAATACATTGAAATAATCGATTATGGCACCAGTTTTGACCTCAAGTGTCGCTAATACTTGTCAAATAAAGTATAACGATGAGGATTTTTGTTGGTCGACAATTATTAAGAATTGTCTAGAAATTAAACACATTATAGCCTTCTTCTATTTTCCATTTTTAAACCTGGAAATAGATGGAAATAATCGGTTATGGCGCCAATTTTGACCCCTAGTGTTGCTAATACTTGTCAATTAAAATAGAACGATGAGTATTTTCGCTAGTCGACAATTATTAAAAGTTGGCGAGAAATTAGGCACATTATGAACTTCTGTTTTCCTTCCTTAGTCCTAGAAATAGATCGAAATAATCGGTTGTGGCACCAGTTTTAGCCGCAAGTGTCGCTAACATTTGTCAATTAAAGTAGAACGATGAGGATTTTTGCTGGTCCTCAATTATTAAGAATTGTCTAGAAATTAAACACATTATAGCTTTCTTCTATTTTCCATCTTTAGACCTGAAAATAGATTGAAATAATCGGTTCTGGCGCCAATTTTGACCCCTAGTGTTGCTAATACTTGTCAATTAAAGTAGAATGATAAGGATTTTCGCTAGTCGACAATTATTAAGAGTTGGCGAGAAATTAGGCACATTATGAACTTCTATTTTCCATCCTTAGTCCTGGAAATAGATTGAAATAATCGGTTCTGGCGCCAGTTTTGACCCCAAGTGTCGCTAATACTTGTCAATTATAGTAGAACGATGAGGATTTTCGCAAGTCGACAATTATTAAGAGTTGGCGAGAAATAAGACACATAAGAGAAAAGTAGGATTTGCCAGCGTTAACGAGGCTAGTTAAACTCGTTGCACTTAATCGCGACAAAATGGAACGCTAAGTAGCCGCGTGCCTAAACATCCTTGATCTTAACTCGATTTAACTCGCGTTGAAGAAGCTCTGGAACCTGCTCGCGTGCTGTCTCGCCATTATTCGTAAACCATTCGCGGAAATGCACCGTGTTGCGTGAAGCCTCCGAGGCCTGGAAAACCTGCATAAACACACATAACGCAATTTCCGTCGGACACTATACAGCGGCTTGAAACGGTGGATGACAAACAGGAACGCGCTGTGTCAATACTCAAAATTGCCGATGTTGTTCCACGTTCAGGTTTCTCTAACGAATTCCCGCATGGCGTTGCTACTATACCCATGTTTGTAACGTAAGAAACCAATATTCATTTGCCGAGAAAAAGCTGTAAATTATCTGAAGCAAAACTCTGTCAAAAGTCAACCTATGAACATTCATTTCGATCACGTACACTCGCACTAAAAACAAACTATATTTTTTTCCATCGAGAAGATACGACATATCGAATGACAATACATGCAAAGGCTTACCAGATCATCGATATAATCTCCAAACAGAAAATTTGCGAGTAGAAAAGCAGAATTCCGGCAACCCCGAGGTACCAATCTCCATCCGAATGGCGCGCAGTCCGCGGAAAAGAAATTACAGAGAAAATGGAGCAACAAGGGGTGGATTTAACGCGAGGAAAGCCCCCGGACACGAACGAGTTAACGGAGGCCTTGAGCCGGCGCAGGTTCACCCGATTCTTGGATAATCGCGCAATAACGACCGGCTAATGCAACGCGATGGCTGGCCAAGCCTCGGCGACTGCGAGGAATTAGCTGCAGCGAGGCCGACAGAGACACCGGGTTCGGAGAACGCGAAGGCGAGACAGAGATAGCGAGTGCGACCGACAGACGGAGACGGATAGGGGTGAACGGTGCAGCTGCCACCCCCGCGTGGCACTGGATGAAGCGTCATAGGTGGATAAAGTGACGGGGGCAGAGTATGACAGAGAGCATGCAGGTTGCGTGTCTCTCTACCTGTATACACACGCGTGTACATACGACGGTGTACGACTGGAACGGGTCGTGTGTAACACGAGCGGATGGCGTGACAAAGGGGTGTATAAGTCGGGCGGAGGGAGAGAGACGCCAGAGGTGTGTGTGTCTCGCGTGCGATGTGTGCCTGTCATCCGATAATCGGAAAGCCAACCGGCACACCTGTACACGTCTGACTAACAAGAGAGACGAGGAGAGAGAGTAGGGGAGAGAGGGCGAAAGAGCCGGCCAGTCTCTCGTTTGCTTTATCCGGTGCAATTTCATAATCGATAATCGAGGCCGACGCGAGCGTCGGCGGCCAAGCACTCGCCGGACAACCATCCAGCCGCGTTACAGACCAGCCAGCGAAATTTTGTTTTCGGAGATTGCCGAATGGATGGGTGCCGGCCGTGTTTGACCAACCGAATCGACCAGAGGGTCGAAGATCGCCGGGTCTGTGTAGACACTGAGGGCTCGTGTTTGCTAATGTTGCGGCTTGGAAAAGCTTCGCCGAAAGGGCATTTCCCGAGCTTCGGTTCTTCGTTGCATTTTCGTTCCCGGTTTTTTAATTGAGCTGTGTTTTCTGGCTGGTGCTTTGAGAGAGTAGTTTCCTGGTAGTTTAGATAGCTGAGTGGGTTAACGGATTGATATAAGTGAATTTGACGAGTAGTTGCAGGCAGTCGGATGAATCAGAGAGAGATTATATGGTACGATGTATGGGTAATAGATGGTATTTGTTATCTAGAATACCGATCATCTTCTGTGGACCACGTGACAGTCGACTTGAGATGGAGACATAAACGAAGAAATATATATAAAAAAATTAATTCTTCTGAATTAAATAATTAAATAATCATATTATAAAATTAGAAATTTGTTTTAGAGGGTGGGGTGTGTGAAGTGGACACTCGTCATCGGTTGACCAATGGCGTCAGTGACCACCGATCATTCTAATTCCAATTCCAAAATTAACTCAAAAATTAATTCTTCAGGATTAAATAATTAAATAATTATGATATTATAAAATTAAAAAATTGTTGTAGTGGGGGGGGGGGGGGGGGG